TGACTGTTGCAATCATTTGAAAGTTATGAATAATTGTCAAAAATCTACAGTTTAGATCAATTAATATATGCCAAGCTTTATTTAGGTATATTAATTATAAACATGTCATCATGATACCCGTCTGTGTGAGCTAAAAGCTCACATTAAACCTATTTGGAATCTAACAGTCCTCACAAAAAATGTAGTTTTGTGAACCTAACAAATTATATTGTTAGTATATAATGTACTAAGGTAATTAAAAGATGAGTTATGCAGACAAAATAGATAACAGTTCAAGCTATTTTTTTTTTTGATTAGCAACATACATACATTTTCTAGGATATATATGGATCAGTTATCCACATAATATGAACTGTCAGATTATGGAATCTTCTTGGTGGAGGGCCTGCTATAGTAGTCTTGTATACTGTAACTTGTGCCAAGCCTGAGTTTCTGTGTTTAATAATTTATGAATATGGCTTATTGAGTTTAGCTTTTACATGTATTAACAGCTAAGGTCACATAATGATGAGCCTCCATAAGTGTAATGCATGCGTTGCATCCTTCCATTGCAATAGTGCATATCGGATGCCTATTGTAGAGTGGCACCTTAACTTATATAATTACTGAAATACCATGCAGAAGGAATCTTGTACGATGTTCCATCTGTTCACATTATACTGACAATAGGTTAATCAGTGCATGTTTACATGGAAATATATAGCATGTCTTTAAGTGTGGGGGGTCAAACATATGTTTAATTAAAAAAAAGTTGTTATACATCCATGTACTGTTCAGTAAATGTACATAGCTTAGCCTTGGAATTGAAGTTTTTATTTTTGTTGGAGAGTGCGCTTGAAGCACTCTGAGAAAACAGCCAATACAATTAACAATTCTTTGTGACTATGAAGTGATATATATATATACGAGACTACTATAAATAATTTGTAAAACCTTCCTGTCATAGGAAACACAGTTATGCTGAAATAGATTGATTCATGATATAATAAACATCTGAGGTGTACAATTTTATATTGGGGGACTGTATATAGCACACACGGATATTGTATACAATTCGATAAACCCAGCCAACAATTAGTAAATATTGAAAATTACCACTAGGCCTAACATATGTAAAATAGGTGTCGGTAGGTAAGTGGAATTGTAAACCTCTGATACATATATATATTGTTAAAGTCATCTATATATGTAGTACCTGTTTTCACTGGAAGACTTACATGTATGAATATTGTAGGACGGTGAACCATTCCCTGTAGGTGTGCTCTATATATTGTGTAGTTAATTATTTATGTACACAGAACATGTACAGTCTACAGAATGCTGCTGCATAAAAGGCTGCTGTATTTTATGAAAAGGGGATGACCTCAACATTTCTTGGTACAAAATAATTGAATATTTAATATCATAGTACCATATTTGAATTGCGTTTTCATTATTCTGTGCATCTATAAACTCCCAAAGGCATGTTTATAAATATACATCGGTGTATGTATCGGGGTATATATATATGTCTAGTACCAGTATGTTAATGTTAATGTTTGAGTGACATGTATTTTCGGAATATTAGTCACTGTGCTATTATAACTACCTACCTATATGCAACTAACGGTAATCTACTCGTCCGCGTCTTTAATAATGTATTCTTTACTTTATATGCACCCCATAATCAACTTGGATTTTTTTTTAAAACAATTGTAAAACCTTTCAATATTCTAACAAAAAAAATCATAATAGAAACTTTATTCATGTACTTGCCATTATGTAAATTATGGAGTAAGCTTTTTTTATTTGGATAAGATGCATGCTTGGCTCAGAAAAAGAATAGGATATGCTTGTATAAGGGTAGGGAACTTATTAGATTGACTATGGTGTGTATTTTCACATGCACTAAATTAGACACAGATTTATATCTATGATATGTATTTATATATATATATATATGTATTACTAGTATCATACATATACCTCTAAGATCTTGATTTATAATTCCTGCATACAAGCTTTAAGAAATTAATAAATTTAACATACACAAGTAATGTGTTTTTTCTAATATAAATAACTTGCATTGGTGAACACTGCTGTTATCATTGATCAATTCAAGTCATCAAAGAAAATATAAATAGTTATTTAAATGTCGGGGACATTTAAATCTGTTGAATTCCCAGCTTGCAAGTTCAACAGATATATGCGTACAGTATACGATTACAGACTGACAGTCAGTCAGGATTAAAATCGTGTCCCTATAGCTACCTGTTATTTACCTAAATAAAGACCGGTTAAAATACCTGATACACAGATTAATACATGACACACCACATACCTGGTGTGTTATATCTATATCTATAAATGGAAACAATGGGAATTCCCATTCTACAAATATGACATCAGCAGCCTTGGTTTTGTTTATAGACTATTCAGGTCAGAACATGTCCGATTGCAGCTCCACATGGCGGTCATATGCCGCCTAGCTCAGCCTGTCGACTGACACTGCAGGTGTCGTATATATGTACTGTGTACACATTCAGGTAAATTATAAAGGTATATTATACAGTTACTTGGCTTCATTTCAAAACCTGGCGAGCTACATTTAGCTGATCATTGTGCAATACCAATAGGGCTGTTACAGCTTTGTTGTAGTACTATCATAGTCTATCTAGGCTGAGTCATGTTTCAGTGGCGGTTAAACTTGCTTGTAATCTCTAAAAAGAGACATGTGATTCAGGTTCAGGGTTACTCAAGCTTGTGAGTGTTAGCATATTTTTACAGGTAGATTTCCCTGACCTGAATTTATGTTTGTCAATATATATATGTGAAATAGGTTTATTATATACTAATTGCTACCTGAAATAAAAAATGTTATCAAGTTATAGTGGTTGTCAATTATGATAAAGAGAACATTACATGTAAAGAACTTGAAAATTACATTAGGTATATTGGCATTTTATAGAAGTGAACACACTTTCTATAAAAATCAGTTCTTTACCATAAAGTATGTCAATTAAACATTGTAAAATTCATTTTTAAAACTCTGGTACAGGTAAAGGATATATATATCACATGTTAATGTAAATGAAATATTTTGTTTAAATGTTATAAATAATTTATACATTTATTCAAAATTTTTTTAATGACCTGTAGACCTCAAAAAACTTCAATGTTGAGATAATGATGTTGAGGTGATTCCAAATTTTAAATTAACCCAGTTAATGTATGTATGTACATACATGCTGTACAACCACTCTACCAGCGGTACAGAAGTATGTTTGTCAAACAGGATGTTATATTTACATTGTACAGTGCGAGATAAAGGGCAATTTATATAATATTCATGACGAAAAACATTGTGATAAGACAAACAGGTGAGCCGTGTGTGGGTTTGTGTGGATCAAAGTTGTCCATAGCCGTATTGATATTTCAGGTGTACTAGCTCTTTCAAGCGACACTTGTTTTCCCTGAAAAGAATGAATTCGAAGGTACCTGGACTTTAAACCTTAAACCCAGAAGGGCCATTAATAAGCAATTCAGATGTCTAATAATTTTAAAGTTTCAAGTTCAAGACAAGTACATACATACGTGTAGACATTTTCATAGTAATAAACAAATATTCCACTTGGCATTTGTATTTAAATTTATTGCCATTTTAGTGGGGATTTCCCTTCGATCTATTTACGCAGTTATTCTAGTTTCGTTTTGTATTTATAAACTAACAGCTAGCCTAGGTTGTCATTGGTAAGTGTGTGTGTGTACATCGTGACCAAGTTGTTGGAATTATGTGAAGTGTCTGTCGGAGAGAAGTGACTTACTAATGTAATTAGGACAGTAAGGTTGAATATTATGTGAGCATTACATGTAAGTTGTTAAAAACAATTTGAACACATCATAATGTTGATCTGCGGCAGTGTTACTGTTCCCGTGTGGGATACCGATGGAGCTGGACTCCAACAAGGAATTTTTGTACAATTTGTGTCGTGGTCTCGACACATATGTAAAGACACAATGTGACAATATTATTTTATTTGATGAATACGGTGTCCGTATGATAAAGATTGGAAACTTTTGAAGATATAATATTTACATATAAAGATATATATGATATGGTGTCGTTATGAAAATGTTTTTGTTATATAATAATATTCAGGAAAAAAATGGGTACATGCTTTATCATTAAATGGAAAAGAGGATTTATAAGTGAGATTCTAGGTTTTTAAAATTGTCTTAAAACTTCTTTCTCTTTGCCTTGATAATTTGGTAAAACGGAATTTCCGAAATTATGAATGTACTTCCTGGAAATTCTTTGCGTATTTTTTTGTTGTCATATTATTCCTGAACAGTTCTAAGAATCCTATCATGACCAGCTGTACACATATAGGTGTATGTATTTATAAATGATCACAAATCAAAAGCCGATATCTGCTGTACTACGGTTACTACAGTACACAACATGTACATGAACAACAATTTTATATAGGAAAGTCAAATGTCAGGCCACCTCCTCCCAAAGTTTTTTTTATATTTGTTATGCTACATATTAGAAAACATGTGGTGTTTCAGGTTTCTTGATTGACCCTTAGCTATATATAGGTGCCCTGTCAACTCAGAAGTTTGTGCGTCATATTGAATAAAAAAATCAAGGTGTCTAGGTTATGAAGTGTTTTAAAGTGGCCTTACAAATAGTAAACTGCCCATCATCTGTGGACAATGACACATTCTTAGTCTATTATATGTATTGGCCGAACACTTTCATTAAACAGACCATCGTTAACTTTGGTATACGTATCGGACAACTTCCTGGTTAAAAAGATCATATGTGATTAAATTTAGATATTATAAAACAGATTGTACCAGATTCTTATTTTGGTATACCAGTTGGCCAACTCACTTATAAATCAGATTGTATACATATGGGTAATAAGGCTATGTACCATTAACCCTGAAGTTATCACAGAGATTCCTTTTACTTAACCCCTTAAAATAAAGATTGAACTATCTGTTTGTTTCAGGAAATACCTCTGACCTTTATATAAGAGAACAAAAGACTTGACCAGGTGACCATATAAACATCAAACAGAAATGGGGAGAAAGAAGATTTCTATCCAGAGGATCAACGATGAAAGGAACAGACAGGTATATAATATAACCACTTTATGTATATGTACCCAGACATGATACCGTGTTGAATATGAGAGTTCAGTCAATGTTATTCAAAGCACCGCTAATATATATACACAGTAATTACCCAGCATGCATAGAGACATGGCCCTAGGAATGTAAATTGCTACCAAAGGAAAGTTACTAACAATAAAATACGGTACACAGTTGTTTTGGAAATCATTCTAAATTTAGTGAAACTACATAATATGTACTTGACTTAAGGGATTTGTACATAATAATAAATAATAATATACAACATTTGATATAGCGCCCTATCTAGCTAACATAAGCCACTCTAAAGCGCTTTACAGTACATAGATATACAATGGTATACAGTCAATACAATAAGCATATATATTAATTAATACAATATTGAGGAATTCGCAGGAGCTGTCTTATCAGGCGCTAACTACTAGTCCTATGCCACCTGGCTAATATCTCCCTATGTGTGTATGCCTGCGTGTGTGCTGGAGTTGTATTGTGTTCTGTTTGTAGTGGAACCGTGCTTCCAACGGTATCATTTATAGTGCCACCTCACTTGAATGCTACAGCACAGATACCGCAACACCCACCCCAGACCATTTTATACTCCACCTGGGTTGTTGGAGTTGTGCGGGCAGGAGAAAAACACTTTCTCTAATATTCCATGCGTACGGGGATCGAACCCCGGCCGCCTGCTTGGAAGGCCGGAGTGTTAACCACTCGACCATTCCGCCCATATATAAATATGCATTAAAGTACACTTAATATGGTGCTGAAAATAATATTCTAATTTAGACACAGGGCTGCATGAAAAAGTTTTACTTATTGTATCCTACTGCATCACATAATGAGACAGTGAGGTGACTATTTAGAATACTGATAACGGTCATTCTTATGTTTTCTGATCTGTGCAAGGAACATAGGAGTGACCAACATCTTTTTGATATTTCTCTTAATCCGAGTAACCATTAATTCTGTTTAACCTCTTGGCATGAGTAACCTCCGACTCTCAGTAACCATTGAATATGTATATAATCTTTTGATTATTATTTCTGTCTGGATCTGTTTTGCTTACCCTCATGAGCAATCTTTGTGTTTTGTGTCCAGGTGACGTTCACAAAGAGAAAGTTTGGTCTGATGAAGAAAGCGTATGAGCTGAGTGTACTGTGTGACTGTGAGATAGCACTCATCATCTTCACATCCAATAACAAGCTGTACCAATATGCCAGCTCCGACATGGACAAGGTCCTCCTAAAGTACACAGAATACAACGACACTGTCGTCAGTCAGACCAACAAAGACATTGTTGAGGTACGTATTGACAGTGTCATCAGTCAGACCTACAAAGACATTGTTGAGGTGCATATTTACTGTGTCATCAGACCAACAAAGACATTGTTGAGGTATGTATTGACACTTTCGTCAGTCAGACCAACAAAGACATTGCTGAGGTACGTATTGACAGTGTCATCAGTAAGACCTACAAAGACATTGTTGAGGTACATATTGAAAGACATTGTTGAGGTATGTATTGACACTGTCGTCATTCAGAACAACAAAGACATTGTTGAGGTATGTATTTACACTGTCGTCAGTCAGACCAACAAAGCCATTGTTGAGGTACGTATTGACAGTGTCGTCAGTCAGACCAACAAAGACATTGTTGACGTACATATTGACACTGTCGTCAGTCAGACCAACAAAGACATTGTTGAGGTATGTATTGTCATTGTCGTCAGTCAGACCAACACAGACATTGTTGAGGTACGTATTGACATTGTCGACAGTCAGACCAACAAAGACATTGTTGAGGTACGTATTGACATTGTCGTCAGTCAGACCAACAAAGATATTGTTGAGGTATGTATTGACACTGTCGTCAGTCAGACCTACAAAGACATTGTAGAGGTACGTATTTACACTGTCGTCAGTCAGACCAACAAAGACATTGTTGAGGGACATATTGAAAGACATTGTTGAGGTACGTATTGACACTGTCGTCAGTCAGACCTACAAACACATTGTTGAGGTACATATTGACACTGTCGTCAGTCAGACCAACAAAGATATTGTTGAGGTACGTATTGACAGTGTCATCAGACCAACAAAGACATTGATGAGGTATTTATTGACACTGTCGTCAGTCAAACCAGCAAAGACATTGTTGAGGGACATATTGACACTGTCGTTAGTAAGACCAGCAAAGACATTGTTGAGGGACATATTGACACTGTCGTTAGTCAGACCAACAAAGACATTGTTGAGGAACATATTGACACTGTCGTCAATCAGATCAATAAAGACATTGTTGAGGTACACATTGAAAGACATTGTTGAGGTACGTATTGTCACTGTCGTCAGTCAGACCAACACAGACATTGTTGAGGTACGTATTGTCACTGTCGTCAGTCAGACCAGCAAAGACATTGTTGAGGTTTGTATTGACACTGTCGTCAGCCAGACCAACACAGACATTGTTGAGGTACGTATTGACAGTGTCATCAGACCAACAAAGACATTGATGAGGTACATATTGAAAGACATTGTAGAGGTACATATTGACACTTTCGTCAATCAGGCCAATAAAGACATTGTTTAGGTACATATTGACACTGTTGTCAGTCAGACCAACAAAGACATTGTTGAGTTACATTTTGAAAGACATTGTTGAGGTACGTATTGACACTGTCGTCAGTCAGACCTACAAAGACATTGTAGAGGTACATATTGACACTGTCGTCAATCAGACCAATAAAGACATTGTTGAGGTACATATTGACACTGTCGTCAGTCAGACCTACAAAGACATTGTAGAGGTACATATTGACACTGTCGTCAGTCAGACCTACAAAGACATTGTTGAGGTACATATTGACACTGTCTTCAGTCAGACCTACAAAGACATTGTTGAGGTACATATTGACACTGTCTTCAGTCAGACCTACAAAGACATTGTTGAGGTACATATTGACACTGTCTTCAGTCAGACCTACAAAGACATTGTTGAGGTACATATTGACACTGTCGTCAGTCAGACCAACAAAGACATTGTTGAGGTATGTATTGACACTGTCGTCAGTCAGACCAACACAGACATTGTTGAGGTGCATATTGACACTGTCTTCAGTCAGACCAACAAAGACATTGTTGAGGTATGTATTGACACTGTCCTCAGTCAGACCAACACAGACAAGTAATAACTTCGTATAGCATACATTGTACGAAGTTATCGTATAACTTCGTATAATGTATGCTATACGAAGTTATTACTTGTCTGTGTTGGTCTGACTGACGACAAAGTCAAAATGCACCTCAACAATGTCTGTGTTGGCCCGACTGACGACAAAGACAATACATACCTCAACAATGTCTTTCAATATGTACCTCAACAATGCCTTTGTAGGTCTGACGGACGACAGTGTCAATATGTACCTCAGAAGACAGTGTCAATATGCACCTCAACATTGTCTTTGTTGGTCTGACTGAAGACAGTGTCAATATGTACCTATACAATGTCTTTGTTGGTTTGACTGAAGACAGTGTCAATATGTACCTCTACAATGGCTTTGATGGTCTGACTGACGACAGTGTACGTACCTCAACCATGTCTTTGTTGGTCTGACTGTCGACAATGTCAATACGTACCTCAACAATGTCTTTCAATATGTACCTCAACAATGTGTTTGTAGGTATGACTGACGACAGTGTGAATACGTACCTCAACAATAAATGAATGAAAAAATTTCATATCCGTATGAAATACAATGAGTAACTCCATGTATATTCGTGTAAGTATGTTATATCTGTATATGTGATTACGTATACAGATATAACATACTTACACGAATATACATGGAGTTACTCATTGTATTTCATACGGATATGAAATTTTTTCATTCATTTAATGTTTTAATATTAAGTTATACATTGTAGAGGTACGTATTGACACTGTCGTCAGTCAAACCAACACAGACATTGTTGAGGTATGTATAGACACTGTCGTCAGTCAGACCTACAAAGACCTTGTAGAGGTACATATTGACACTGTCGTCAATCAGACCAATAAAGACATTGTTGAGGTACATATTAAAACTGTCGTCAGTCAGACCAGCAAAGAAGGTATGTATTGACACTGTCGTCATTCAGACCAACAAAGACATTGTCGAGGTATGTATTGACACTGTCGTCCGTCAGACCTACAAAGGCATTGTTGAGGTACATATTGAAAGACATTGTTGAGGTACGTATTGACACTGTCGTCAGTCAAACCAACACAGACATTGTTGAGGTGCATATTGCCACTGTCTTCAGTCAGACCAACAAAGACCTTGTAGAGGTACATATTGACACTGTCTTCAGTTAGACCAACAAAGACATTGTTGAAGTACGTATTGACATAGTTGACATTCATACCAACAAAGACATTGTTGAGGAGCATATTGACACTGTCTTCAGTTAGACCAACAAAGACATTGTTGGGGTATGTATTGTCATTGTCGTCAGTAAGACCAACACAGACATTGTTGAGGGGCATATTGACACTGTCTTCAGTCAGACCTACAAAGACATTGTTGAGGTACGTATTGACATTGTCGATAGTCAGACCAACAAAGACATTTTTGAGGTATTTATTGTCACTGTCGTCAGTCAGACCTACAATGACATTGTTTAGGTACATATTGACACTGTCTTCAGTCAGACCAACAAAGACCTTGTAGAGGTACATATTGACACTGTCTTCAGTCAAACCCACAAAGACATTGTAGAGGAACATATTGACACTGTCGTCAGTCAAACCTACAAAGACATTGTTGAGGTACATGTTGAAACACATTGTTGCGGTATGTATTGACACTGTCGTAAGTCAGACCAACAAAGACATTGTTGAAGTACGTATTGACATAGTTGACATTCATACCAACAAAGACATTGTTGAGTTATGTATTGACACTGTCGTCATTCAGACCAACAAAGACATTGTTCAGGTACATATTAACACTGTCGTCAGTCAGACCGGCAAAGACATTGTTGAGGTATATATTGACACTGTCGTCAGTCAGCCCAACAAAGACATTGTTGAGGGGCATATTGACACTGTCTTCAGTCAGACCTACAAAGACATTGCTGAGGTATGTATTGACACTGTCGTCAGTCAGACCAACAAAGACATGGTTGAGGTACGTATTGACCGTGTCATTAGTCATGCCAACAGAGGCGTTTGTCAGGGGTAAGTATTGATAGGAACATTATCAATATACATGAATATTGTACTAGTAAGATAAGTAAAAGAAAGCACTGTTGTTGAGGTAGATATATTAAAAACAATTTTTGGATATAATATTGCTTGTTGTAGTTCTAATGGCCAAAAATGTTTTACACTTATTCCCAATTTTTCTCGACAGATGCTAAGCAAAAAAGATTCAAAGGGTGATGGAGATGATGGCGATGATGATGAGTACAATCTGACGCCGCGTACAGAGGAATCCTACAAACGCATTGACCAGGAATATGCCCGTGTTATGCAACAGGGCACTCAATCACATGTAAGTTACATGTTCCTCATTGATGTATCATAGCAGGTCCAGGTTTGATTTTGTGTACGATTTACATGGAGTTACTCATTGTATGTCATACGGATATGAAATTTTTTCATTCATTTAATGTTTTAATATTAAGTTATACCCTGATGTCAGTAAAACAGACACATAAGTAGAAAAATACTTGTAGTTTTATTTTCCTTAGCACAAAAATTACAACTTTGTTATATTGCCATCATCTGTCAACTAACTTCAGACTTGACAATATGTGAAGGAAGATGTATAAGGTAATCCTTCAGAAAAAAAAAGAAAAACTACCTTGAAATATATACAGTCTACACTGAGATTCACTCATCAGTAATCATTGTTCCCGTAAACTGGAGCCGTCATCTCTTAACTTGACTGAAATTGAAAACAATTAATCATAATTATGGTGTTTTTCTGTGAATGATTCAGAATTGTTTTATACATATAGCTATTCCTCAAATAGCTACAGATATTAGTGAGCTTGCAAATGAAATGAGGGGCTTGATGTTGACCGTTTTTGTATGTGTGGATTTTAGAATGTCTGTGCATTGTACATCTTTACAGATGACGCCGGTACCACAGATGTCAGTGTCTGTGCCTGTACGACAGGCAGGAGGTGTGGCCAACGTTTTTACCCCCCAGAGTATACCTGTACCCACCCAGCAGCCGACCACAGGTACTGTGGTCCTTCTACAGCCCCCTACCGCGCACAATGTCTCACCAAGTCCCCCAGGTGAGAAACTCCTGCTAAAGTGGAGGAGATATTCAGAGCTACCATATGTCTGTCAGTCCTGGTTTGGTTTCAGAAAAGTGAATTATGAACTGGTTTGAATGGAAGTACGACAATACAGGGAAAATCCTTGAATTTTAGAGCAGTGGTTCGTTTTCAGCAATTTTTAATCAATATCAAAATGAATAGGGGTCAATTTCAGTTTTGAGAGGTCAATGACCCCATGGCCCCCTCCAGGATTATCCCTGACAATAGATTTGAGGATGAGGAGGGACACAAGATTGTGATGAGGTTACAGAGAACTCCTCTGTTTTTATTTGGTTTGAAATTTAAAGAAATTGAATCACAAAGATTGGAGGGGGGTGGGTGGGGGAGAAAAGGTTTTGTCATTTTTTTACATTTTCAAGTTCATGATTCAACATTAGCCTCAGCAAACACCTCTGTGTAAAGAGTCATATTGGTTTGCCAATGATACCTAGTTCTTAGAGTATGTGTTACCTCAAATAAATATTTCGGTGACAAATTATTTTAAATACATTCGCCAATCCAAAACCAGATATACAAATGTGTATTGTTTATAGAAGACATTGCTACTTTGCCGTTTAAAGATGGTATTTATTTTGTGTACATCATGATTCATGGAAACTACTGACTATATCAAAACTACTACAATGACTAGCTTTGACAACATTGATAAGTACCAGAAAAAGTGTACCCATGTCTCAGGATATCTTTGATTACAGGCTTAATTTACTTGTATATTGTTTTCTATAACAGTTATTCTATAAAATCCCTCCCCCACAACCCCACCCCATCCAAGTTCCCACATCTATCTGGAAAATGTGAAGTCTATGTAGCAATTCAATAGAATAATGTGGTATATGTAGTTCAACATTGAAAACAACAGCAATGATATAAGACTAATTTCATCTTCCAAATATTCCCGCAAAGTTGGTGGAATATATTATATACCGGTAATACATATTGTATATTACATTACTTTTTAACTTAACAAGGTTGAATTAACATTTCTCCCAGTTTTAATTCTGTTCATGCATGTTGTGTGTATAGAGTTGAGGAATGGCCATGTGTACCATTGTGTTCCATACAACAGGTAATAAGATGATGAGTGTAGCGACAGCCACCACGAGTCGGGTATCCCCGGCCCCCACAACCAGCTCTGTCATGATGATGCCCAGCAAGGATGAGGGAAAGGCCAGACCATCCCTCCGTGTACTGATACCCACTAAACCAGGCGAAGTGAGTCTTGGACCAAAACTCGGACTGATATGTTTGTTATTATGCCCTGACCATGTAGGAGTGTCTGTCCATTTTGGTCCCGTCAAATTGTGTTGTGATTCAATGTCATGACTACCAACTTCCTTTTCTAACAAAGCGTTGACTTTTATATAAATGTCAAATATAAGAATACTTTGGCTGAGTATTTCAACATGGAGGCTGCTACCCCTGTCTGTCCTGTTGGTCCTGTCAAATTATATTGTGACTCAATGTCACAACTGTATTAACTTCATTACTTAACAAATTACCATTAAAGATCAATTATGAGAATACCTTGGATGAGTTTGTATTTCATAGTCCCGAGAACAACACAGAGGTCCTTGTTGCTATTTGTAGTTCGCCGAGCCAACTGGGCATTCATGTCCTACAGACATTTTCTAATTTTACTGTATACAGTTTGGGAGTATTCTTACTGTATTTCATGTTAGTAGTAATGTATGCTGGAGAGATGAAATATTAATTCGGTTTTACTTTCGCAGGTGACGACCAAGAATCCTTTGACCACGTTAGACACCCCTGTTGTGAGTAATGCCACACCTGGAGGGCACCAAGCCCAGTCGATACCGTCCTTCTGTCTGCCCTCAGCCATGTTGCCCAGTAAGTTATGTTTGTGGTTACAAATATTGTAAAATGATATACTGAGAAACTTTCATCCAGTCAAATATTTGCCCCGTACAGGTAAAACCTATTGTCACACTGGTGTTAGTTTTGTCCTTACATGTATGTACTATATATGGCATGCTGTTCTGCTATTTGCTGTCACAATAAATCCCTCCGATTGCAAAGATAAAAAAAGGCAAAAGTTAAACTACAGTGAAAGTTCACTGTATACGGTATATCTATGTATGAGGCTGTGATAAATGAGAGCTTGTTCACTGTGTTGTATGATTGTAGTTGTGTAATATTGTGATGTAGTTTGTGTATGTGTTTGTTATTTGATTAATCTTGATAACCGTTTATCATTATCAGTTACTGTTAAGATCTTTATATTTTCACTGGGATATAAATTTCACGATTTCTGCAAAAAATAAATATATGCCTTGTCACGTAACAGTAAGTGTACATGAGTCAAGTTTTCACAGCCCACCACCCACCTCTTAGTCTACGTCGTAAGCTGTCGTCAACCTACAAGAATATTACAGATGTTGACTTCATACATACCCTTAAGATTGATCAATTACGATACATGTATTGTCTGGTACATTGACGTTACTGACCTGTGAAAATAACCTTTGTAGTAGATTTCTTTTGAATGGAATGGATTTTTCCTTAACAATAAACACAAATTCTGTGTAATACGCTAGTTGTAAATGCTTGATAATGGAACTTAATATTTTTTATTTGTGTCTAGGTGACTTACAGATAGACAGTGCAGACCTGGCCAAGTTACTGGGTGGCTCTGCTGGTCCCCTCACTGCTGCTGTACAGGCCTCAGGGATATCCTTTACATCTGGGTAGGTGTCATCCACTACCATGGTTTATAAATGTCAGAGGTTGGTGTGGTAAATCAGAACCTTGGAGCTTCAATATGGGCGCCATGCACGTGTATAAACTCTCCTGTATTCTGATTTGATGATTGTAGGAAGGAAAGCACTTTGAGCTTTAAAAGGGCTGTAAAAGAATAAAGCAAAGCCCTCCTTTTGAAAAAAACCCAAAGTTGTAGAAATTGATTTTGATGCTAAACTTCTGGTTGGATGGCACTGTGGGTTGTTGAAACAGGTCAACTTAATATGAGGTAATATAACTCAGATCCATTTGCTTCAACTTTTTCAGTCAGTAAAAAACGAGATTGTGTTTGTTTAATTTTTAAATATTCTATAAATTCTATTGTACTTTATTGTAGTAATTTGACCCCCTCTGGAATGTCTGGTATACACAACCTGCTGATCCCTGCCTCACAAGCACAAGCCCTTAGGATCAGCCTCGCAGGACACAACGTCAAGTCAGAACCACCTACCTCGCCCAACGAGGACCGGGGAGGAACCAAACCACCATCAGCACACATGACCAGAGATAGCTCGGATGAGCCACCAGAAAAAATGTCCAGAATGTCGAACGATCGATGACCCCCTCCATGTTAGATGCAATCATTAAGTTTCTGTAAATAGTCATACATCGTAGATCATATTTCAATGTACATAGCCCATTTACACATCATGGAGATGTGTAGGTATCCCCAAGTATTTTAAATACAATGTATGGACACTTAAACACGCAAATCCATTTTAAGGATGTTCGCCCATCATGTTCAACTTTTTTTAACTCTCTCAAAACCATAGATGTCCATTGGGTTTAAATAATGGTTCTGTGAAATAGTGAAAAAATAGCCAGTGATTTCATGTTGTAGTCAATTGTTGTAGATTTTTAAAATGACAGTAGACTGATGTAGAAAAGTAGCAGTCAACATTTATTATATGAACATTTTGACAAATCAATGTCAATCAGACAGTTTTGTATTATTTATCAGAAGAAAATGTTTTCATAAAATTGTTTTGATTTTGTAGAAAGAATAACACATCATTTTCAGGATTTTTACTCTTGGAGATCAAATTCAAAAAGATTTAACAATTTAGGAAACTTCTTATGTTTATAAGAGTCTAACAAATCAACCAAGAAGATAGGCATTCATGAATGGCAGTTTCAATAATAGTTCACTGTACGTAAAGACTAATTCGTACAGAAAAGAAAGTTAAATACTTTGAAGATGATGAGTAAGCATACATTATATTAGCAAAATGTTGTAAATAGGTAGTGAGACTTGTAGCGATTTTGTAGTAAGAGGTTTTGCACAGATTGTAATTCTGTACAGAAATTGCATATCAGCCCCTATGGAGTCCCGTGTGTTGTTTCGGCAGGAATAGTGCTACTTATCCGAACAGTTAACGTAGGGTGGCTTTCATTTGTCACGTTCCAAATGGTTGAACCAGTGTTGTTCGTTCATGAATAGGGATAGGCGTAGTAGGCAAAGTCTTGCATTATCCCTAAAATGTAACATTTAATATAGACGAATTGGTTTGTCTGCATACATTAACCAGGCCCTTGTAGACCCATGCCAGTGGGAGACTACGAGATTATTTCCCTAACTTGTGGCATATTATAGCGTTAATCATATTTTAGCGTTAATCATATTTTAGTGTTTTTCATTATTTAAATAATGCACATAAATATTATTGTGTTAATGAAATTTACGTGTAATGTTTTCTGTTACATATATTTTAGGTGTGCCTATTCGCCAATGGTCTTATCTGTTAAAATTTGATAATGCACGGATGTTTGAGTGTGCTAAAACAGTGTTAGCATGTATACGGTATCCTGTAACATGAAATTAATTAGATATAATGAAATACATTGTATTAGTTGTCAAAGTTACATTTCAGTACTGAATGTATTCCATTTGTTGATAATTGGTTACATTATCAAATACAGAACGTCTATAAAAATATGTCCCAGGATTTGAAAACTTATCGAAAACCATGATGTTGCATACACTTTTGTCCTTTTGGGCAGACTTGGCAATAGTAAAATTTTAGGAAATTTAAGTAAAATAGAGTACTAATTCTTAATACTGTTTATACAAACATCAAGGGAAGTGGTCTTGTAGTCCTCCACTAGATGTGCCAAGTAATGTTTATGTAGTTTTTAGCTGGTTTTTAAACACTTTTTAACTTGTCAAGACATAATATATACACGTACTACATGCAATACAATATTTTGTGACTGAATATTCTCTGATTATTTTGTTGTAAAAATATATTGCAATTAATCACAAATATGATATTTCTGAATCACAAAAAATCTAAATATTTTTTCTTTGATACCAAATGTGCCATTTTGAGTCCATACCTTAAGAGTATATTAAATAATGTACCACTCAATAGAATGTAAAATTAAAATAGAAACCTCTAATGTAGAAATGTTTACTTGTTGTGTAATGATCAAATAATGTCTGGTTTCTGATTGCACTTACTGTCAACCAAATTATTGTATGTTTTACATTACTGCTTCATGATGTTACAAAGCATGAATCCAGAAAAGGGACGATCATTTCATGTCACCACGCACAAAATTTTAACTATGAGGCAGCTTTATTTTGAGACTTTCTTGAGGACCGAAGCATGTTGGTCAGGACTAGAATCTGATATTCTACACTGGTATAATGAAAGACCGTAATTGATTTTTTACCGTAATTTTTTTTTTTTTTTTTAATTTTCATATTATAAAAAAATTGTATTTCCTTATCCTGAATTCCTAGAAAGATACTGAAAGGCTATCAAAGTTGTGTCAAGTGAGCGGAGGACAGAAAATGAAGCTTGTTTACAAGGTCACTGCTATGCTTGTAGTGTCTGCTATTTGTAATTAATGGATGTTGATTTCCTTCTGTTTTTGTCATGTTGGACATTTTGGTTTCTGTCTGTTACTTAAAGATTCTTATTTTTAAAGTCTGAATAGTATAGAAAATAAATAAATATATGATGTCTAAATTAATTAAAGGGATGTAATTCTAAGATTAAAATTTCTTCTTTCTTGGATTCAGAAATTTTGTATGCAGAAAAGTAGAATAAGTACTTTTAGCTGTTCCATTGTAAATTTAATGACACTAATGGGAAGAGATAGACATCCTTTAAAATCAAGCTTGTAGATGTACTTTTAAAAAGTAATATATTCCAGCCCTTTATTGCTGTATGTTGCTAACTTAGATAAGGCTTGTGTCAGAATTCAGATGCTGATTAATGGCTAGCATTAAAACACAAGAGATATTATGTAAAAGTCAAAATATTACCTCCTTCACAAATCCTCAGAAAAGTTTGTTTCCTGGTTGTGTTTAATGAATTTTTTGTTGATCAATAATAATTTGAGACAAGGTTTTGTGTTTAGTATAGTGGGACCTTGGTAATATGGACTCCAGAATTTGTTTTCTGGACGCCAATATTTACAAGAAATGATTGTTGTTTTAGAACTGCAATATTTGTGAATTCTGTTGTTTTATTCACTGTTCATACATCCTGAAGTGGTGTCAGTTACAAGCAGTCATCAGTATGTATCACATGTTCCTGAATCAGTTGTTGAGCCGATTCCTATTGTCCCGTTGTTTTTATCATGCACTTACTTTGATGTATGCAGGTGTTTTCATCTGTTACTTGTTTGTGTAGACAATCTTTTAGGTTACGTTGACCTCGTATATAATTATGTAAATGTACATAACACAAAATCATGTTTTTATTTTTAAATATTGATGAAATTCCTATCATTATTCTCTCAGAATACCTAATTATTTTGTAAACCCTTTCATGGCGATAATATGAGACATGCAATTCAGAAGAAAAAAAGTGGAACCATAGCTTCCTACCACTTACAAGTAAGATAAGGTTGGGTAAAATGACAGGAATTCACACCTCATTTGGGTATACATATACCTTTTTAACATGGATACTTGAAGTAGTATCTGGTCCCTCACAGCTCCCTAACCTTTTTACATGGGTACCTTGAGGAGTGTCTGGTTTCTCAATGCCAAACAACTTCTTTGGACATCTATTGTTATTATATGCCATTGTGGTAGGATTCCCGCAAGATCCTTTTAATTTCTATTCTGGAATGACACCAAAACATGAGTTCATACAAATATCGACTTTTTGTATTACTTTAGTAACAATATCAGATGACTTTTCCATGCTTTCTTCAACTGTAATTGGAAATTGTAGCAATATTTTACATGTAGGAACAGTTAATTACATTTGGTTTCTCAAGCAACACATAGTAGGATATTTTATGGGGCAAATTGTCCGATGCACAACTATTAAGTCATTTCACAAGCGATGAATATTAACACTTGAATTGGACTTTTTCGTGGTAGAGTACTCAAATGGCCTTCGTGACTTTTAGTAAGACTGGAGGAGAAATGTACATGCTTCTGTGCAAAAAAGTTGTATTTGGTAAATTAATATTCTGGAATTGTGCTTTACAGAAACTGAAATATGAAGTGTAAAGATGGTACCAACATCTGGTGGTAATGTAGTTCATAATAACATGTTGTGGCTAACATGGGTTGGATTTTATCCAGAGTTTCTGCATGTGATTTTAGATGTTAGGAGTTGATTTTAGATATTCAAATGTAGACAACCAAAGAAAAAGTGCATAATTTATGCATCTTGACCCCTGACAACTGTCTAAATGAAATTATCATAAATTGTTATTGATCTCGCATAAAATGATGAAGATATTATTGTAGTTTTGTCATTGTATGGATTTGTAATCTCTTTTTGTTTGGACATACTCTTTTATCAGATCATCAGTAAGGGGCCACATAAGGGATATTTAGTGAGTTGTTGATGTATATCAATGTACATTTATAATTATGTACACTTTTTTTGTATAGTGAACCCTTGATGAGCCTTAATACTTGATTTGAACCTGGGACTATCACTGATTTTAATGTAACCCCCTTTAGAGTATCCTCATGGTTATCTCCCTTCGTGAATGATTGTGAGGTTGAGTTACGACTATGTTTGACCTCATTTTCCTGTTAGAACATTTTAACATATTTAACATTTTAATGGATTTCTAACCGACAACCATGAATGGTGGTAAATGAATGTTTACCCATGATTTGTGTACATCTTGTATACTGATACCTTTATACGTTACTGATTACCGGTACCAGGTGGTCTTTAAATCATCCCATTGGTTTTGTACTCACACTTGAGTAATGTACTATACTATTATATCAATATTTTCTTCATGACACTGTTTTCCAGAAAATAAAAGAGGTAAATCCATTGTAAACTCTAAAGCTATTGTTATTTTCTTTATAGCATTACGAATGGTCTGAAAGTTTATCAAGTAGGAAGTATCCAAACAAACTGTTGGTTCCACATAAACTAACAGGCCCCATTTCTTAAGAAATCCACTGGTCAGTGTACTGATTACAAACCAGAAAATCTGTTCGGTTGGTATGATGGTGACGACCTATTTTTGAACCATTAGAAACATTGGCAACTGACAAACTTCCAAATCAAATGTCTAAAATCTACAAGTTTTTGCCTTATTTCTTTGAAGATTTCTAGACTTTCAATCATACCAAACAACTTTTACAACCATGTTACAACTGTATCATATGAGTACCTTTTGTAGTGCTATTGTTTTCAGCACCGATTCACAAATAATTTAACTGGGGGAATCATTTATTAGCTCACCTGGCACGAAGTGCCAAGTGAGCTTATGCTGTGGCGCGGCGTCTGTCGTCCATCCGTCCTCGTACGTCAACTTTTCCTTTAAACAACTTCTTCTGAAGAACGGACAGGCCTAGAGTCATGATATTTGGCGGAAAGCTCTGTTGGTAGGAGCCCTACAAAGTTTGAGAACGAAAATGACCTTGACCTACTTTCAAGGTCACAGCAATCAAATATGTCAAATAGTTCAAACTACTTCTGAAGAATTAAAAGGCATACAATTATAGTATATACTATAGTAGCTTTAAGGAATAGAGCTTACTAATTGGAGAAGGAACATGACATTGACCTACTTACAAGGTCCCAGGGAAAAATATGTCAAGCAACTTCTGAAGAAGAACTAAAAGGTATAGAATCTTCCTATTTGGCTGATGGCTTCCAGGAATGGAGCTCAACAAAGTTTGAGAATGAAAATTACCTTGACCTACTTTCAAGGTCACTGGGGTCAAATGTGTCAAACACTTCAAACGACTTCTTTTGAAGAACTGAAAGGGATATAATCTTTATATTTGGCTGGTGGTTTTCTGGGAGAGAGCGCAACAAAGTTTGAGAATGAAAATTAGTGTTACCTACTTTCAAGGTCACAGCAATCAAATATGTCAAATAGTTCAAACGACTTCTGAAGAATTAAAAGGCATACAATTATAGTATATAATATAGTAGCTTTAAGGAATAGAGCTTACTAATTGGAGAAGGAACATGACATTGACCTACTTACAAGGTCACAGGGAAAAATATGTCAAGCAACTTCTGAAGAAGAACTAAAAGGTATAGAATCTTCCTATTTGGCTGATGGCTTCCAGGAATGGAGCTCAACAAAGTTTGAGAATGAAAATGAGTTTGACGTACTTTCAAGGTCACAGCAATCAAATATGTCAAATAGTTCAAACTACTTCTGAAGAATTAAAAGGCATACAATTATAGTATATAATATAGTAGCTTTAAGGAATAGAGCTAACCAATTGGAAAAGGAAAATGACATTGACCTACTTACAAGGTCACAGGGAAAAATATGTCAAGCAACTTCTGAAGAAGAATCAAAAAGCATAGAATCTTATAATAATATTTTGCTGGTAGTTTTAACAGATGGAGCCAACAAAGTTTTCGAGGGAAATATTTTAAGTGCAATATATTATTTAATGAGAATATTTTGCTATGACTGCTTAAATATTCAGGTGAGCGATACAGGCCCTCTTGGGCCTCTTGTTTAATTTGTGACCACTTGGTTAGTGCTATCAGTCCAGCTTGACACTGAAAGAAAACATATATCTCAATATTTAAAAAAAAAATCATCCAAAAAGTACCTGCGCATTAATATATTTATAGTGAATACTGTGACACTGACAATTGGTTCAATCTCCATGGAAAAGAAGTCAATAGCAACTTAAACATTGACTTTTAACCCATGATAAAGAAAAACAAAATCAATGTGGAATCAGTCGTCAGCCTGTACATTTAAAACATAATTTTACCTGCACAAGAAGTCAAAATCAAGGAAGGGAAAGGTTTTGTATTTGTTTATTTTTAGGCATTGCATGTCATCTTTCAAAATGTATGTACAATAATTTACATTTCAAACATGTAGCAACCTAGCAATATATTGTTCTGTTAAAAGGTAGTTACCTGTACAACACTGAACAGGTAACAAAGTAGATCCACATAAAGTTGTACCAATCCTTTTGTATACGTGTCAATGTTACACACTTTGTGATAGCATCACATACATCTGCTAACATACATTATATTAATTAATGGCAAATATATCACCTAGCAGAGATCTAATCTTGAGCATCAATCATGCGTGGTTGATAGAATAATTAACTAAACCAACTTAATTTTTGTAATGATATTTAACAAATATTCATACACTAAGTTCATGGCAAAATTAAATCTATTCAGGCATTCTATCGAGACAAATATTTTATAATGTACTGAGATCATGTGTTATAATGGCCACATGATTAAAACGTATATAATGTTGTGTACATGTACATGTAATATTTCTTTTTAATATCTCCAATCAGAATTATACAGAATTATTTTCTCTGTAATTGAAGAGTTGATTTTCTGTCAAGGTAGTAAATTTAACACCTTATATTACATAGTGGCATAGAAAAAAAAGATATCCAAAGAAATCCATACTACATATAGCTCAATCACATAAATTATAGAGTAACAACTACAGACTTCAGTAAGGTACTATATATTACTCTAGGATTCTATATATAAGCATCAGGTATAATAGCAGTTTGATTTACAACCTGTACTGAAGCACAAAATCATATAAAAAGGTTTGAAGAATTCAGATACTCTTATACAAACAGGTTGGTATGTATCTACACCCATTAACATACACTAATACTTTCATTTCTACGCTAACAAGTATACAGGCACACTATTCTCTTGGTCAAGCAGGTCAGCTTGATGAGAGTTAATCTTCATTCAATAAAATGTTCCATAAAGCTTCACATATTTAATCAGACTTGGAAAACTCTGAGAAGTTTAAAATATCACAGGGTAACAGTGAGAAATGTCACGTCCATCTCGTCTCTCATTTACAGTCTTCATTCAAATACCATCCACCGGAACAAACACCTGTTTAAGTTGCTGCACAGAACACGATCACTTGGATGCTTGGATCTCACCTAGGAGGGTATGTCTTACTTATCAATACAATGCATTCAATCTCCTGACTTGCTGCTCATTTCCTGCCAGGAAGTACAAGGACATCTGACTTGGCCAAGACATGACAGGGTACATTGGACAATCTTACGGCTTGATGTTATAAAGCGTTTGTTTTTTTCTGTACCATAGACTCCCTTATCTGTCTATCCAGCTCAGCAATGATACGGTCCTGTGTGGTGTAAACGCCTGTCCTCAACAACGTGTCGCGTTCCTCAATGAGGCGTGTGATGTGTTCATCAAGGCCCTGGCTCTCCTCACCCTTGGATCCAGAGTATTCCCGCGGACTCAGAGAATGGTTCAGAGATTTGGCTTTCTCCTCTTCTATCTGCCTGAGCCTGGAGAAAGACAATTGACAACATAGTCACAAACTCGGGACAAGAAATCTGAATCCAGTATTTTAATTAATGTCATCCAATAGGTGTGATATGTAAATGATCAGTTCAAGCAAAGTGTTCTCAAGCCTAACTCTAAATGATGTTAAAAAATTGGTTTTGAAAGAATATAACTTAGCAACATTTCTTCCTCAAAAGTGAAAGCATTTCGCTTGGTACAAAGGAATGCAGCACTTCAAAAATGTTTGTTTAAAAGTATTTAGTTGAACTTTAAGAATTATTAACTGAACAAATAAAGCTTGATAGTTAATTACATATTTCTACAACTAGTTTCTAAAAAAAGAAGAAGCTCAATTGAGGTCAACTTAATCTGTAAATCTAAATGGTTTACCTGTTGAGTTCATTTTTGAGGTCCTCTAATTCCTTTTTCTCCGACTTGACGACCTCCTTCTCCTCTGCAGCGAGGTAACGCAGACGCATGTGTTCCAGTTCTTGCTGCTGACGTTTTAACTCTGATTTGGCAGCCACCTGTTCCTTCTGTTTTAGTCTGGCCAGCTCCTTGAGGGCGCGGCCCCACTGCTGTTTGTAGTGGACCTTCGACTTGGCTATAGCATCCAACTTACGCTCCAGTTCCACCTGGAAAAAAAATCAAAAATATACAAACTTCCTTCAGGTTTGTAGAAAAGATATGATATCATTTTTTTTTAAAGCAATTAAAAGTTGATTGATTTGTTAGTATCAATGACTACATTTTTTCTTCTCCCACATTTGACAGTGATTTCTACACTTCCAGTCGGGAAAAGATATCTCGGCCAAAGAGGGGGTTCCCTGTCATAACAATTGTATGGTGTCACATTAACAATAGCAGATCACAGAAGATAACTCTGATCTGCTGGCACATATGAAATAAACGTTTGCACTTCATGAAATTACTACTAGTATTTGATGTGGGAGAAAAATAATCATTCCCCACTTTAGGAGTAAGACAGAAAAAATCTCATCCCCTTGGGGGTAAGATTCTTAAGTCTTGCCCTTGGACTAGGCATTTAAGAATCTTACCCCTTCAGTTAAGATTTTCTGTCTAACCTCCAAGGTGGGGAAAGATTATATTAATCTTTTGATAGATACAGGACACGAATGGATTTTCTGTACGTTAACACATTTCAGGCATGATTCTGAGCTGAAGATTTTCTGACACTGCCTTGTCATGTGTGCCTCTCCTTGTCAATGTCAGTTATCACTAAAATTTAAACCTTTAACGCCTGCAGAAGGGAACTATAAAAAATGTCTCTTACAGACAAAAGGCAAGTGGCTTTCAAGTGAAGTTTGAACAAAGAAAGGGAACTGAAATCAGTCTTTAATTACAGACAGTTGCTGTTCATAGTTGGCCTTTACAGACAATGACCTTTGAAGACAAGTATTTACTATACAAAGGTGACCTTTATACAGTGCCTGCACATACCTTCTCCAGTGTCAGTAAGTTAATCTCAGACTGTAGCCGGACCTCAGGTTTGGTGTTCTGCTGCTCCTTATACACAGCAAAATCCTTTTCCAAATTCTGATTCTTTTTCTCCAAATCCGTTATCTATCAACAATATCAACAGAATTTCTGATGTAGGGCAAAACAAAACAGAAACGAGCTTGTCATCTAATGGTGACAAGCATATTTTTCAGTTTTCATGATTATGACAACATCACCAATTCTAATTTCTACTGAAGCTTCATTCATGAATGTTTAGTCTTTAAACTCGGATGGACTGAAATTCAGTATAAATAAATTATGACACAATGAATGCTTTAATATATACATGTATATATATATAAAAAAAATGTACCTCTCGCTTGTATCTGTCAATAAGCCCTTCAATTTCTTTGCACTTTAACCTGAAAGAAATATCAAAACAATTATCAATCATCTTGATACTTTAATTTCAACATAATATTTTCATATGATAAGACATCTAATATTCATGTACAAAATGTGGCAGGATTATCAGAACTTTTTATTATAACTACTGTGTATGTACAACCTTGAGTTTCGTTTTCAAGACATTAGATCAGTGCAGTGAACTAGTAATTATACATTCAAACATATGGAAGGTCCAGTCACATAGAAAATGAAACCATGCCCAACAAATCCTGTATAAATTAAAAAGGCCCAAGAACCTACACTGCTCACCTGGCTTTTGTATTTGTTTATTGGCTAAGAACCTGTCCACTACAATTTGGCTAAATTTAGCCAGAAGTTTTGGAAGAGATGCTATTTAAATGCAAATCAGCAAATTTGACTCCTTTTGATGCCCAGTAGTTTAGCAGGTAATGTCATTTTAAGTAATTAAGAAAATCTGACCCTCTTACATTGCACCTCAGCCCTAAAGGAGAACAGATCTTGTGTAACTTTTGATTCTCAAGGGCTAAAGCTGCTACCAAAACAATTTGGTTGACACCAGCCCAGTCGTTTTGGAATGTTGTTTAAATCAGAAAAGTTCACCCCTTTTAACCAAGTCCCTCTGTCCCAGGAAAGATTTTTCCCTTAACTTGCATATTTTTGATCCCATGTTCTAAGGATGCTTCATCTGAAATTTGGTTGAATTATGGCAGTAGTTGACAAGATGTTGTTTAATGCAACAGTTGACTGATGGCTGACAGTGTACTACAGATACACACTGACATAAAACAAGGTCACTGTGTTTATTTGTATCTGGTGAGCTAAAATATCTTTTCTCCTGGTTCACTGTTATTTCTTTAACCTGGACAAGTGTATCCACACTTTTCAAGGTGTAAGATATCCGTTTCACTTACCCTTGACAGGTGTATCGACAGTTTTTACAGGTATGAGATATCCTTACCTCATTCTAGGGTTGAGACGGGGGGATTCCCCAGTCATAACAATTGTATGATGTGAACATTGAATTTACATGTAATTTATGGAAATTTCAATAGGATAAGAGAAAAATAATTATTCACCCCTTTTAGGTAAGATGGGGAGTCTCAACCTCCTCGGGTGATATTTTTAAGTTGTTATTCATTCTGTAAGCCTAGGTGTTTGCAAACTTGAGACTTCTTCCCTTTGGGTTGAAATTCCCCTATCTCGATACCGAAGGGGTGAGAGATTTGAATAATCTGAGAGAAAAGATGCAACAACATGTAACTGTGACCAGCATATGTGATGATTTCTGTCAGTTTGCTTCTCTGTCCCAGCAAGCTGTTATTTCACTGACCTCTCCAGCTCAACCTGGTGGTCGCAGTCCTCCTTCATCCTGCGTGAAGCCTCCCGTACATCCTGCAGCTTCCTGTCATGCTCTCGTTGTAAATCAGCTTTCATTCTGGTCACCTGAGGAAAACCCATATGGTCAACTAAATGTGAGAAACACTAACAGGATCAAGTATACATGAGTGTCATCGAGTCTGAATAAAAGCTTGAGATACTCTTCACAGAGTCTGTAAATAACGGTTACCCTTCTGCTCTACACATTCTTATTTCAACTAGTGCAAAACCGATTTCAGTAAACATATCAAACACTTATAAATCACCACAACTAACTAAGATACAAGTTTTCTTCTTGATGACTAAAGACTGGTCATGGTATTCTTTGTGTTTTACGTCCTATTAACACTTTACAGCTATGGTGATTTAAGGATGTGCCAAGTTTTGGTGGTGCAGAAAACAGTGACCTACTGTCAATACCTGGTGAATGCCCCACGTAGGTCTTGAACCCGCATCACAGTGGTGGAGGGATAGTGGTAGCAGAATGTCAGAAGCCTTAACCACTTGGCCACCGCAGCCGGTGATAGAATTGATAACTTACTATGCATGTATTTAACTGTTTTATGAAGATTTTTGCTTTCTATACCACACCTTAAATTCATTTGTAAGTTACCTGTTACCTGTATTTAGTAGATTGCCTGTTTTTTTACTTGTTGATTACCTGTTGTTCATTAGCAGCCAGTTGTTTTTCACGTTTTTCAAGGTCAGACAAAGTTTTCCTCAGCTGGTCTTCAAGTTGTGCATACTCCGCCATCTGACACAAAAACATGTTTGTTGATAAAGACAACTCCCTTCATTTTAAACAATATTAGTTTTTGCTAAGAACTAACCTGAGTATACAAATAGCTTCAGGCACATTTGTTTATATTTGGGAAGTACCAGAGCAAACAATAAAACCTATAAATAATTGACAGTATAACAATCAGACTAAAATATTTCCAAAGACTCTACTTTAATATAGAACAGTAAATAAAATCCAGCTAATTGACTTCAAAACTTTAAAAATTAAAATGTATATGTATTTAAGTTCAAAATTATTACCTACCTTTTTCTTCATTAAAATTTCTCTCTCTTTGTCCCTTTTCTTCCATTCTTCTGCGAGAGCTTTCATGTACATTGTTTCTTTTTGCTTTAACTGAAGGACAGATACAAAATCCAATGTTTATTGGTGACAAAACATCATACAACCTGTTATCAATAAACACAAATATTCCAAAATTAATATAGTAACTTGAAAATATTTCTTTTACCCTAAAGACTTTTTGATACTTTTTAAAACATACAGCTTAATTTGTGTTTATACTGAACAATCGAAAACAATAATGAAGCTAAAATATTGACAATATGAACCCAGGTGTAATGACAATATTTTCATGCCTTTCAAGTGTTAAAAATAAATAAAAATAAGTTTTAAACTCCACAATACAGATATAGTACCATGTAGTGCCTTTATCCTAATTTTTAAACAAAAGTTCACTTTACATCTTGTGGTAATGCCCTGTACCAAGACTTCTAAACAAGTGCTGTACCTGGTTTTCAAACAAATGTTCCTGCCCCTCCTTCCACATTTCCAGTTCCAGTGCGGCCTTGTACTCGGCTGACTCGCGTGGGGCCGGAGATGGAGCACGTGGTGGGGCCTGTTGGGTCTGTGACTGTGCCCTTGCTGCACCCGCAATGTTCTGTCCGAGGGACTCGGTCACACTGTGAGTCTACAACAATAGTACCAGCGTTAGTTATATATATATTCTACAGTTAACTGCTTCCCGACTGAGACATGAATACAAGTTTAATTTATGAATGATACTTTAGTTTGGTAAGTTAGTTGGTGACACTTTTATAACACAGGTACACACGAGTGCTGGTATTTGTTAAAACTCAGTTCAGGATGAATAACAAGAAATAAGACACCTATATCTCAAATAACACTATGAAAGATAAATGTAAGGTTTGAAATAGTAATAAACACAATGCATCTATGATCAACTAAATGTTTTCATTTTGTTAGTTTTTATTTATCCTGTGACGGACTTACCCCAGAAGACTCCTGCTGGACAATGATTTGCTGTGTGGTGATGGTGCCCCAGTCCTCCAGACTAAGCACCGTGCTGACCTCTCCAACCTTACGCTGGTCACTAAAAACAAACCAAATCTCAAGATAAGAAATCTCCTTAGGCGCTGGTGGAATCAATTCAATGTTATTTTAGGAGTTCCCTGATATGAAAATTCTACTTGACATCTTTTCCTTACTTTTTTTTTTCCCAATTAGAAGTGGCTAATTACATATAGAGAGTATGTCACCTGGGAAAATCTTGTTGTGAACAGATACGCACCAACAACTTATCTTTATGAGTTGTAAACTGTAATTTCTCGTCTACAAACATGATAATTTTATTCAAAATAGGTTGTGCAGATATACAGTTACTTGACTTAAAACAGTAATACACAACTTAATAACTTTATATTTTTTTTATAATCAAATTGGTAATGTAAATAGTTTGACAGGGGAAAGCTAAAGTAATAATCTTACTATATGCTCAAGCAAATAAGGAGACTGATTTTTATTTTGGGCTCATTTGAATTAAAATATTTCTGGATTACTTAAATAAAATTTTATCATATACATGTCAATAAGAAACAAGAGGCCCATGGGCCTTAACGGTCACCTGATATATTTATACAGAGAGTTGATTTCGTTTTTAACATGAACAGAAATATTATTCAAAGTGACAAAAAACAATAAAACCACCTTATTCAATATCAAGCATACAGATTTCAGACTAAAAAGGATTTGAAACTAGCACCTCTGATTCTAAACAAGGAAAATGAAGAAATTTTAGCACACTGACTCCCTTGAGCCCCACCCTACAGCCCTTGGGGGTAGGGCTGGCTCAAAATTTTCAAAGTATCAAACTGTCAACTCAAGGTTATAATTCCAATCAAGTTATTAACATGTAATATTCAAA